GTTTTGGGATGCTTTGTATAATATATAAAAGGAAAGATAATGAAATATTAAATATAATTGCATTGGAAACGGTTATTGGGTGTGATTGGTGGGATGGATCTCCCCTGTCACTTGGTCTTCCGATCCTTATCTCTACAGCTTCATAAAAAAAACCTCCCTCCCTCCCTCCCCATCTCTTGGCTTTCCAATTGCTTCTGCTTCATTGGGAAACCCCCCTGAATGTAGCTATAAAACGTCAGAAACACCTTTTCAATGCGGCCGGGGAGCGATCCCTAAAATAGGGAAGATTTGAGTGTTTTGTCGAGGACGGCGCTGTTGTCAACGCGAAGCAGCTGGACAATGATGACGACCTCAACAACGTGAGGAAGGAGGAGACCGACGATGATCGCTTGAACATGATGCATATCAACAGCGACGATAATTCAATGCCCGTGAATCTCCTGGCCTCAACGTGGAGAACAACAACGATTCCATGCAGCACCCAGACTAACGACGACACAGAGAATGTCGTCGATGCCAACCAACTCGATAGGGTTAACTAGTGTTACGACTTCCGTTGAATTGGTTTTGTTCTTTTAGTGGCACAGCTAATGCGACGACGAATATGTACCAGTAGTTCTGGTTCAAGTTAGCTAGTGGTAGTACATTGCTAGTGGTAGTCACTTAGTGGTAGTAAATTACTAGTAGTAGACACCTAGTGGTAGTCACATAGTGGTAGTACACTTCTAGTGGTAGACACTTTGTGGTACAATTGACGATATTTGTTGCCTGTTTATGGTGATATTGTTGCCTAGTGGTAGTAACCTACTGGTGCAAGGTACGTACTGGTAGTAGCCTACTGGTAAAAGTTAAATAGTGTGACCTCTAATGCATCTTCTTTTTAAATACAAGTGTGGTATCAACTATCGTCCCAGCTTCTATAGTGACCAAAATTCAGCAGAGTTAGGATACGAGAAGATATAAGAAGAGGCTAATGTCGGTTCAAGAAATAGAAAGCGAGCAAGCAATAAAACAACTGAATAACACGCTCAACAGTAAGAGAAATAAAGCATCTACCACTAGTTAACCATTTAAAATGCCGCAAGAAATGTTGAATTCCACAGATATTAGTACCACGCCACTAGTACTTCTACCAATATCATGCATTGGTACTAATACCACACCATTGGTACTTCTAACACTCGTGCAACTGTAGTGGTATTTCTACAACTCTCGCTTGGTACAAGTATCACTAATGTCTGGTACTTGTACAAATCCAATGCTAATTGTACGCCTCGACTGGTACACCTTACTAAATGCATCATTCCACTTGTACCAGTGAAGTGGTACGTGTACTACTATAGTTACTAGTACTTATATAATTGAAGTGGTACATGTACCACTATAGTTACACTTGTACCAGTGGAGTGGTACATGTAACTCTCTACCACTCAATAGCTAGTTGTGCCAGTCCACTGTATCACTGAAGTGTTTTCGATACGGAAATACCACCTGAGAACAAGTCCACTTGTACTTACTAAATGTTCTAGTGCGAGTTGTATTGAAAATTGGCAATGGAACATAAAACCAATTGTGCTACTGTAAGCTGCCACTATTTTGTCCAATATCATTGGTTCACATTAAAGATAGCAACATAACTAAAAGTCAACAAATGCCCAAAAATTGTTCATACTTCTAAACATACAGAAACAATTATTATACTCCTCAACATTTGGAAAAGAACTACTGTTGGGTCAGCTGAGTATATGCAGGGACTCTTGGTTAACTCATCACGTGATTGCTTCTTACTAGGGCCAGAATCAGATGACTCCCCTCAATGGATGACAACCTGCCGATAAGCATGGCCAACATATTGGTTTGTTGTCATCGATGAATAATATGTAGTCTTTGTTCTAGCCATCCTGTTATCATAAAAGAAAATACATTGGTACAAAGACTTAATTAAACTCCTTCCGGCAGAAAAAACCATTAGAAGCATACCAGTAGCAACATTAAAACATTTCAGTGGTACAGGTACCAATCATTATGTACTGGTATCACTTCAGTGGTACTGGTACAAATCAATTGGTGCTAGTACCACTACAACTAGAATCAGTGGTACAATTCCATTAAACTACCACTATTATCATACCACTGTAATTGGTACAAGTAACACAACTACCAATAGAACTGGTATCAACTAAAACTATCAATCGATCATACGAACACCAAACATATCACACAAGAAAGACATGACTACATGTCATATATTCTAACGTTGCATTAGGAAAACAAAAGCCGGTCGTCTAAAGTAACCTCACATGCGATGGTTTACACGGCCACAAAAAGGGACGATGACGGAAGGATGTTCGTCGATGCACTTAAACACAAAAAAAGACTAATTAGGACAACCAGAAGAAACGTGAATATCAAAAGTCGAACAAGAGGAAAGAGTGGGGAGGAGCGAAAGAACCGACGACTCGGTGAGGGAAGACAAACAATATGGTTGTCAAGGAAGATTCCATGGAAATGTCAAGTTGTACTTGAATTACCTATCCACCGAAAGACCAAGACTTCGCACTCAACACTAGACCGGACAGGATAATGACTGGAAACGCCGAGAAAATTGATCGAAGACGGTGGAAGGGAAGGTTTTTGGGAGAAGACAGAGGAAAAAGGGTTTGGGGAGACGAACCGTTCTAAGGGAAAAGTGGCTAGTTTCTCTCTCCCAACGAATTCTTTCCTTTTTCAGAATCCAGTTGACGTCAGGGCATTAGTGGGCAGGCGGATCCAGTGTGGGCACTCTTTTTTTTTTGCCTTTGGCCATCATTAATTGTCGGATGGAGCGTAAAGGGGACGGAGGGCTAGGAAGAGTGAAGCGAAATTCACAACTCCCTTAGAAGAAGTGACACTAATTTTCGGATATTGCCATATATTAATACCCTATCAACTTAGTTAAATAGATTAGATTCTCATTGACCTAAAATAACTATTCAATGCATTAACTATCTTTGCGAATTCTCTAGAATATAGGGGTACGCACGTGAGTGGTTAATCCGCAGATTGATATCGATCCACCAACAAATAACCCGACCCGCACGCAATGGGTGATTGATATGGGTGGATTGCGGATTGTTAAATCTCTCATCCGCACTTATGTGGGTGGGTGGATGGTGGGTGGATTGCGGGTCACCCGTATGACCCACGTCCTATTTTTACATGGAAAAATGTTGTTTCTTATAGTATCGAATATTCATCATATTTTTGAACTGCACTATATTCTGACCATATACTTCAAAAGGTGGAGAATAAAGAATAGTTTTGACTACTATTACTGATTATTGTGTTGTGCAATATCCACGGGCAATGGATATTGGTATGCAAATTATTGTTAATATCCATTAAATATTGGGATACAAACTATAAATTATTAATTGTATCAAAATCACAAATTATTGATACAATCTTACTAATTTGCTATGAACTTGTTATAAATGTTAGTCAATTTTCTTAATGGCTAGTTGAAGAATTGCTTTTGCGGGTTGACCCGCGACCAAACCGCACCCAACCGCCACCCACCCAACCCAAAATCCGCATAAGTATGTGGGTGGATTGCGGGTCACATATATTCCAGCCCGCTAGTAAGCGGGTGGATCAATTTTAGACCAAAATCCACCCAACCCGCCCATTGCCCACCCCACTAGTATATGTATGATTAGGAGGGTTTTTTTTTTCAAGAAAGTATGATTAGGAGGGTTAATTTGCTTTGTTAGTAGTTAATACTTATACATACATGATACATCCAATAATTACGAAAAATGCGGCTCACGAGTAGATTATTGGTCTCACAATTATTTATTTTGGGGATGGCGTCAACTAGCCATGTCAGAATTCTACATATATGCAATCTTGCTTGGCCTCCCACATGGTGTGTTCTAAGTTGGAAGTGTTATGTTGTTTATATGTATGTAATCTAGATGTTTTTTTTTTTGGGTAGAAATGGATGGAATTTTGAATGTTAAGTTGTTTTGTACAGTTATTTTCTTGTATTATATTCTTCCCAAGGATAAACAACAGTAATGTTTCAATTGGAGAAGTGTTGTATTCTATTTCATTTTGATTTTCGAATTAAAGATTTTTTTCTTTCTTTCATTTTCATTTCATAGTTCGTGTTAAAAACAAAGAAATAACATACTGGACTGAAAATCATATTGAGGTGGATCGGAACAGCTGTCCAATTCATTTCGATTTGGGATGGGCCAAACTCGTTTCGGCCTTTATTCGTTGTTACTACAAAATAATTTCTCTACATTGCATGATATATCTTGGTTATAATCAATGTGACTAATTTCAATGTATGATTATGTAACTCGGTTGATGCATCAAAACAACGACTGTTCGACGCTTAACGATGGAAATGTGCTCAATCACTCCAAGTAGGGGTGAACAAACACACCCGCAAATCGACTCATTCGTCTAACCCGATCCAACCCACCCGTATTTATCGTTAAAACTAAGGTTTTTGGGTTGTGTGATGATTTTCTTTTGTACAACCCGCCTTTTTTGGGTTGGGTTTGGATCTTGGATTACACAACCCGTAGAACCCGACCCAACTCGTGTCCCAACTATTGGTATGTGTTCGTATCCAAAAAAATATTTATGTCTTATATAGTCATAGTACTTATGAGAAAATTAAGATATTTTGCCATGTTTTTCTGTCAAGGTCTCCCTAATCTAATGCATTCTTCGACTTAAAGTTAAGACATAGATTTAATATAGCTTTGATTCACGTAATCCTTTTTCTTGTGTACAATTTTAACAGAATAACATATCATGGATGCGTTCGTTTATAATATTTTTAGCCTATTTCAACAAATGTCATGAAAAAAAACTAGACATTATATTGAAGTAAATCACATTTTATTAAAATTTAAACAACATTTATGCCATTCACATTGGTTTATTTGTACTACCAACGCTATAGAGATAATGACAGTAATTAACCTCTTCGATATTTATTTACCAACTAATAATTAAATCTATCGCTACAGTATATTCCCAATTATACTAAACCTAATCTAAACTATAAGAGAAGCAGAGGCAGGGCAGTGTGAACGGAAGAGAGGAGGAGAAGAAGAAGAAGAATACAAAACAAGATCACGAGACAGTACATGCCAAAGGAAAACAACGCCTCCGTCACTCACCCAACCTACCTCTGTAGCTGCTCGGCTGCTCTCTCTCTCTCTCTCTCTTCACTCTGTCGTCTCTGAATCCGTCTTCCCTCGCTTCTGCTAAACTTTTCCTATAAAATTCAGAGCCTGTGGCTTAATTTTCTTGTTCCTCGGGAAAATCAAGCTATCTGCAAAAACTCCCTCCCTAGCTCCCTGCCCAGATCAGATCTCCTGATCTACTCCCCAAAAAACCCAGCAGAGATCGATCGAGATATGGCAGCTTCTTCGGGAATATTACTAAGAAACCACCATCGCTACTCTTCCATCAATCTAGTATCTTGGCCCTTTTTGCTCATGCTTCTACTCTTCTCCGTCGTCTTTTCCTGTTTTAGCATCACCGCCGTCGACGGCCTCAACGTCGGCGTCCAGGCCATCGACCGCCCCGGCGTCGTTCTGGTAATTCATTATCATATGATATATAATATAATTAGCTGTTAATTAATCAATAAATTCACTTGGTTTACTTGATTTTGAGTGATGTTTGTTTTTTGGCACAGAGTAAGGACTGCAGCAGAAAGTGCGAGTCGGAGTTCTGCTCCGGTAATCGATTTGATTTGATTGGTGTTTTTCTGCTTAATTAAATATATGTAATGCTTACACTATGTGATTAATTAGTTGAAATAATTTGGGAATTTTGGGTTGCAAATTGCATGAATGCAGTGCCGCCGTTTTTGAAGTACGGCAAGTACTGCGGGCTGCTGTACAGCGGTTGCCCGGGGGAGCGGCCCTGCGACGGCCTCGACTCCTGTTGCATGAACCACGACCTCTGCGTCCAGTCCAAGAACAGTACGTTTTTCTTCCTTCATCGTCTTCCTCCTTCGATTTCATTTTTTCGTTTACCATTTGGGAGAAATTCTCGTTCCTGCATGTAACAAATCCTAGCTAGCTAACCACCGGGAGTGACCACAAAAGTAAGTCAAAAGATTCATGTGAAGAAAAGAGAAGATGCTTGCTAGCTGTCACCGATTAATATATTATTGTTGGTTCCACGTGGTCAAGCCAGCCAACCAACAATCCACGCTGTCACGCCCACAAGTGGCAAGCTAGCTAGCGCATATGATATAGCCTTGCTTCCTTTCAAATAGGGGTGATAATCCGGTGTCGGTTGTCCGGTTTAGCCGAAAACCGAACCGAAAAATCGGTTAGTCGGATAACCGAAAATCGATTACAATGCATGCGGTGTCGGCGTCGGTTGTCATTTTAGGGAAATATTGATAACCGGCGGTTGCCGGTTGCTAACCGAGAAATACTCGGTGCACCGCTCCTAACCGCTAGACCTCTTCCTTTCCTCTCGCCGCTCTCTACCTTCCTTTCCCAATCCCACCATTCAACCTGCACCCCCTGAATTCCGAATTCATAACTCCCAATCTCAATTTTTGCCACCCAGAATACACCAACCGCATCGCAAATCTCAATTCTTTCCTCGAGCATCAACTGCTCAAACCATCGTCAAGAACCTCCTTATCTGCCGACCACCGCGATTCTCTTCGTCATCTTCCTTCTGGGATCTCCGCCTCTCCTCGAACGGCGAGATTTAGCCGTGATATTCGGCGGCGGGGATCTATGGTGTGTGACAGGTAAGAATCGAGATCCACCCACTGGATCTGAGTGAATAGTCGCCACCAATCGCAACCTCACTATCGTCGTCAATCTTTGTCGCCCCCACTTTGCCTTGCATCCTCCTCGCTTCCCTTCCTTCCTCATTCTCGATCGTGGACATGCAAGGAGTCAAGGTGGTCGCCTTTGCTGAAATCGCTATCGGGATTGATGGCAGGAGTCGAAGATCGCCTTGCATGTTCCCGCCGGCCGCCTCCCTGCCGTCCTCATAGTTCGTCATCTTACGCTGTCGTGTTGTTTCGAAGAAGGTAGGAGAGAATGAGGAGGCGGTGGTCTAGGCATTAGGGTAAAGCTGCCATGGTATTGGGATTTGGATGAATGGTTTGTAGTGTTCGAATTTTTTGGTGGATGCTTAGTTTTGTTGAACAAAGGTAGATCTAGTGGAAACAGAGAGCAAGAGAGAGAAGACATGAGCAGAGAAGAAATTGGAAAAGACTCAAAAGAGTCGGCTTTTTTTGTGAGAGAGACGGGAGCAATTTTCCCCTTTCAATTATTGGTCTCCTCACCTCACCTATATAATTATAGGAGCGGTTTTCGGTGACTAAAAGACCGAACCGCAATTAGTCGGTCTCGGTTTCGGCTAACCGATAAGAGGATCGGTGGCGGTGTCGGTCGCTGATTTTGGGTCGTTTTCGGCTGGGGTTAACCGACCTGTCGGTTCGGTTTAACCGTAACCGAACCGACTAACACCCCTACTTTCAAATATTCAAATTTGGCTTCACCTTCTCCTTTTTTTTTTACTCCAATCCTACTCCTCTCAAATGTAGCCCCCTTAATTTTTTAATCTCTTTTTCATTAGTCGTAGTTGTGAAGTTTCTAATATAATTTTCACTTTAATTTTTCATAGTTTGTCATCATTATTGAAGATTTTTTTAACTTCAAAAAAGATATTTTTTGGCCTGAAATAGGTCTTAATCCAAGACAAGCTCACATTACAGAGGTCTAATTTTTTTACACATAAACACATAAATATAAAAGAAATTTTATGGTTGTTCCAAAGTGTTCGTTTTTTATGAAAGATGACGACGAAACGCGACGACCTAGCCCACCTAAAAGCCCAACAAATTTGGCAAAAGGCCAACCAAGCCTGACAGCCAAAACATCATGTACATCGCCAGCCTAACCGCTTAACATAATTAGCAAAAAAACCTACCTTTTCTTTCCAATTGCCGTCTTTCTTTCCTTTGATCGAGTACTGACCATGTATCCACATATGCAAATGCAGATGACTATCTGAGTGAGGAATGCAGCGAGAACTTGATCAACTGCATGAAGAACTTCATCAAATCAGGAGCACATAGCTTCAAAGGCAGCACCTGCCAGGCCACCGACGTCATCGACGTCATCTCTGTAGTCATGGATGCTGCCTTGCTTGCTGGTAGATACTTGCACAGGCCCTGATTATAAGAAACAAACAACTGTTATAATGAGCTTTGCTTTCCCCCTGTACTTCCCTTTTTGCTTAGTTTCTTCCTCTACAACCATTGTATAGATCTGTTATAGTTACTGCTGCAACTCTTTTTCCACTCATTCAGTTTCTTCCTATCATGGTGTTCGAAAAACTCCTACAATGATTCTCAGCTCGGACGCTAAGGTAAACTCCGACCACCATGATCACCAACTCAATCATGGTGGCAGGTGAGGTAAGGCAAATAGTATGGCTTGTAACCCACCAGAAGTAGCATTCTACTATTCTCCACAACAGAGACAATGAAAGAGTTTGGACAAGGAACCGGAAAATGCCCTACTGAAGAAAGGAAAAAATACCCTTATATCAAGTTCATGGCCTGAATTCGCCATTCCACTTGAACCTCGATGAAATAAATCAATGGTATCAACACAGTTCATCATATCTTAAAAGCTCAGACAAGATCAAACTATTCAGACAACAAAAATGAAACCTGAGCAGACTTTGTCAACTATGATCGGGGAGCGAGAGAGAGGGGTTTAACTTCTTCGTTTCTTCAGGTGTCTGACGGTAGGAGGGACACCTCTTCTTGCCTTCACACCAATCTTCAGGGACTTGGCTCTCTTTCTGGCATTGTTAGCTGCAGAGGGCATTTCCCTGATAGGACCAGGAGGTATACCTTTCTTGAGGGCACTCCCTCTAGGGGTGGACGAGGGCGGTATTCTCAAGCTCTCTGGAGGCAGAGGGTTGTGTGGCTTCCACACCAAGTTGTTCTTCATGGCAAACCTTACCTTCTTCACGCTTTTGTCTTCGCTCTTGGCAGCAGCATCCCCTTGATCTTTATCATCTGCATTTCCAGACTGCTTCACATCTTTAGTCTTAGTTCTCTTCTTCCTCTTCTTGGTTAGTAGGCCATTTCCTTTCACTTCCACGAGCTCGAGCGAGCTTCCAACACCATCGTCTATACTGACTTCAGCTGCGACTCCCTCAAACTGCTTTTGGAGGTTTGCTATGACAGCATCGTCAAAAGTAATCGCATTGCTCTCCAGACCATTGCACTTTTCGTCACTGGAAACATTATCACCATTTGCTACTTTCTCACCGCCATCTTCCTGCTTCTCCCTCTTGTTCTTCTTGTTCTTCCTCTTCTTCTTATCATCTTTCCCGTCATTGTCATACGAATCCTTACTCCTCTTTTTGCTCTTCTTCGATTCTTTCTTGCCAATGCCTCCATTTTGACCTTCCACTTCTTTCATCTGAGTGTCAATGGGCACCAAAGTCGGCACTTCATCGTCATCATTATCTGTACCATCAACATTAACTTGAGGAAGAGAAATTTCGATCCAGGAAAGAGCCAATGCCTTCTCTAACTTCAAAAACTCCTCGTGCAAACCAAAGAGCACTTTCCTGTTGCCTTGAGGACATTCAGCAGAAGAACCCAACTCATAAAACTTAGCAGAGAACCCCATAGCTAAGGCAATCGTACCAAGCAAGACCACATCTTTGTTCTCACAATCACCATCCGGATGAGATTTCTTAAACTCCAGCAATCCCCACCCCATATTCAATAACTCGTCAAACACATTGCCCTTGATTTTCCCCAACAGCACCTTATCAATCACCTTCCCCATCACCGAACCGAAAGGCGTCAAGAGCGCTTCAACCACCGGCTTGCTCAGAGGCAGAAAGGGCTTGAGCTCGTCGAGGAAACAAGACGCGACATGATAGTTCACACCATTTCCCCCTGGGAACTTATCGTCAGCCAAGAATGTCCTCTCCAAAACAATACCCATGAAACGATTCGACATCTCCAAATCCCACGAATTCCTCTTCAGGAGGAGGAAAACAGAGCGGAGAACCCTACGCATCAAGAGGTAGAACTTGTCTAACCTGAGGAAATCGATGCCGGACCACTCGCGGCGCATGGTGAGGAGGAAGACGGAGAAGTAGTGGGCGGAAAAGGGCAAATCGAGGGCCGGAATCAAAGAAGCAAGGCGGTCGATGAGGTGGGCCTGGGCGGGGAGCTTGTCGGCGTGCCAGAGACAGTAGAAGAGTCCCTTCCAGAGCTTCTTCATGTCTTCGTCGGGGAGACTGGACTGGGAAGGAAGCCACGCCGAGAGGAGGGCGCGCAAAGATCTGCTGCGGGTCCTGTTGTCGGAGGCGGCCAGCTGCTTTATGAGCGCCGGCCCTGCTCGAAGTTGGGTTTCCGTCATTTTTTACGCAGCTGGGGTTCGAGTTCGCCGGAGATTGAGAGGGGGGAAAGCTGGGATTTCTAGGGGAGGAAGACGGCTACGGAAGAGAATGCTCAGAAATAAAAGTCCACTAGTTTGTAGCGGCGGGGAGGGCTGTGCAATATCAGCAGCAGCAAAGGTTAACAGGTTTGCTGGTTCAGGGTTTTATGGTCCGTGACGGCGTGACCAAGAGACAGAGAGAAACCCTACGGGAGAGTTTCGGCCGGATCTGACGAACAATTTTTTTTTTTTTTCCAAGAAATGTCAAGAGAGAACCTATACACACTACCCAAACCCTGCCCAACCCATACAATAGCGAAGCCAATCCACAAAGTCAAAGGAGAACAACTCTAAAGGGGAGAGAAACAGGGCTTTCTGCGCCACTCTATGGGCAGCCTTGTTCGCAGTCCGGGGGACTGCCCTAAACTCTAAGGAAACAGACACTGAAGATAAGAGAAGAAAGCAATCCCGAAGCACCGGTCCTCCAATGGAATCAGATAAAACACCTTGACGCAGCTGATTAATCACCATCTCTGAATCTCCTTCAATGATGACCCGGGATAGCGATTTGGAGACCACAAGGAAAATGGCGGCTCTAGCAGCAAGGAGTTCTGCAAGGTAGGGATCAGCAATACCAGGGTGAAGAGCACCTACAGCCAACTCCACACGCCCGTCTGAACCTCGCACCACTAGACCAGACGAGCATCCAGAGGAGCGAACAGCAGCATCAAAGTTAATCTTCAGAACGCCAACAGGAGGAGGGGACCAGGGAGATCGGCGAGAGAGGGACGGCTGGAGCAGGGGAGCAGGGACCAAAGGGAGGAAGGAAGACAGTTCTTGAAGTTGGAAAAAACACTGACGAGCGAGAGACTGGGCAAGAGGTTGGACATGTTCAAAGACCACCTTATTTCTAGACTTCCAGATCCTCCATAAAACACACACGAACAGGAGGATATGGGTTTGGGGGTGCTCGGAAAGCATAACATGTCGCCACCAGAGACTGAAATTCACAGTCGGGGCCGAGGAGATGAAATCATTTAATCCCATAAGCGACCACAATCTTGTGGCCAGGGGGCATTTGAAGAACAGATGTTCAATACTTTCCGGTCTTCTCCAACACACAGGGCAACGGACATGACAATTAACTCCTCTAGATTTGAGTGCTACTACTGTTGGCAGTATCACTCTAAGGCACTGCCAGATAAAGAATTTCAGCTTTGGAGGAGTTGGAATATCCCAGGTTTTCTTCCAGATAGGAGGATCAATGATCTGGACCAGAGGTTTTCGGCTAGCGGATAATGAGATGTCAAGAGCTAGATGATATCCCGATTTGACTGTATAAAGACCATTTTTGTAAAATGCCAAACTCTCATATCTCTTTGATGGCATCTAGGGAGTGGGATTTTACAAATAAGGTTAACCGTTGAAGACTCAAAGCAATAGTGTAATCTTGGGACATGCCACTCACCTCTATTTTCCTTGATGAAAAAGGAAACTCTCGGGGAATTAGTTATGTTCGGGAGGCGGACCAAAGGAGAGATGGGTTTATCTGTAATAACCCACTTATCTTTGAAGGCATCAATATCTTGCCCATCTCCAACTTGCCATCTTAATCCCTGTAAAAGGAGATCCCTTCCAAATAGTATACCACGCCATCCCCATGAAGGGTTGGAACCTAGCTTCGCATCCATCACTGACCCGTTTTGGAAGTATCGACCCTTATAGATGGCTGCCAAGAGAGAATTTGGATTTTTCCAGATTCGCCAACATTGCTTAGCTAACAAGGCTTGATTAAAGGCCCCAAAGTCTCTGAATCCTAGGCCTCCGTGAAATTTACTATGTGCCAAGCTTTTCCAGGAAACCCAATGTATAGGATGATCAACATTATCCGCTGATCCCCACCAGAATCTAGCCACATGACTATTTAGTCTCTTACAATTCTCTTTAGGAATCTTGAAGCACGACAAACCATGTACTGGTAAATTGGTGGCCGCCGTTCTAATTAAAATGTCTTTTCCACCTTTAGACAGAGTTCGTTGTTTCCATCCTTGAAGTTTTTTAATGAGCTTCTCTTCTATGAATTGGAAGGCCTCTCTCTTTGATCTAGAGATAATTGATGGGAGTCCCAAGTAATAATCTTGTTCTCCAATGCTACCCACACCTAATTGATCTCCCAGTACCCCAGCTAGGTCTGGGTGCATATTGCGACTAAACAAAACTGCTGACTTTTGAAGGTTGACTCGCTGGCCGCTCAGACCTTCATAAGCTTGAAATAGGGAGAGAACTGTTGAGCAAGACTGAGGGGAGGCCTCTAAAAAGAGATAAGAATCATCCGCAAAGAAGATGTGGGAAACCATCGGACAAGATGCTCGAATTCTCACTCCCTCCAGATACCCTACTGCTATAGTGTGTCTTATCATTGCTGAGAAGCCTTCTGTGCAGATGGCAAATAGCAGTGAAGACAGAGGGTCTCCTTGTCTAAGTCCTCTTGACGGGCGAAAATAGCTAGAGGGGTTTCCGTTCACCAAAACTGAGTAGGACACTGTTGTGACACATTCTTTTACCCATGATATAAACTTTTGATCGAATCCAAGTTCTTTCATTACTCCGAAGAGGAATGGCCATTCCACACGATCATAGGCTTTCTCCATGTCTAGTTTTAAGGCCATCCATGTTTTTTGACCTGAGGTCATTGTTCGGAGATGATGAGTTATCTCATGGCTAATTAGAATATTGTTGGATATTTGGCGACCTTTAATAAAGCCATTCTGGGTTTGAGAAATTATACTGGGTAAAACCCGGCTTAGTCTATTAGCCAGAATTTTTGATATGACCTTGTAAATTACTTGACAAAGGCTAATAGGTCTGAGATTCTTCATGGATCTTACTTCTGCAGTTTTTGGAACAAGCGATATCCAAGTTCTATTAATTGAACGTAGTAAATGCCCAGAGTGAAAGAAAGCTAGAACTGCTTGGGTGACATCTTTCCTACTATATCCCAGTAAGCTTGGTAGAACCCTGCTGTGAATCCATCTGGCCCAGGAGCCTGAGTTTTCCCCATACTGAAAACTACTTCTTTGACTTCTTCTGGAGTGATAAGCTCGATGAGATCTTGATTTTGTTCTTCAGAGACTAACCTTTCAAATGGCAGGTTGGACAGGTCAATACCTTCAGTAAGCTGGGATCGAAATAAGGTTTGATAAAATTCTACTACGATACTTAATTTCCGGTCCCCATCTGTGCACCATTGACCTCTAGAGTCTTCTAATCCCCATATAAAGTTGGCCTGACGTCTAATTGCCGTTATCATATGGAAGTATGGAGTGTTACGATCCCCTTCTGTTAACCAGTTGACACGCGACTTTTGTCTCCAATAGATTTCTTCCATTTTATATTGAACTTCTAGTCTTTCTTCTAGGGATCGTACCAGATTCCAATCCACCATGATGTTTTTACGTGCATCATCGAGAGCTAGGTTGAGGTCTTTTATCAGTCTGGCTGAGTTAGAGGTCCCCCCTTTGCACCAATCAACTAGGGTGTGACGCACCCTGAGCAATCTATAGAATAGACAAAATTGAAGGGACCCAGTTATGGGTGTATCCCAGACGTACTCTATTAAGAGTCTTGTTTCATGACTTCGAGTCCATCTTATGTCAAAATGGAATAGGCGTTTAGCTCTAGACATTTCCGGTGATGTCATGAGACACAGGAGTCTGTGATCTGACCCTTTATCTGAGAGATGGAAAAGGCAGGAATCCGGCCAGATACACGCCCAGTTTGTGGAAACAAATGCTCTGTCAATTTTTTGTTCGATTAGTATACCATTTCTTCCTCGGTTAGTCCAAGTAAATTTTGGCCCTTGAAACCTCATTTCTATCAAACCCAAATCGTTTAGAAAGTCCCAAAGAGGGCGGGCTTTGTCCATTCGCCAAGGGGCTCCACCTGATTTTTCCGACGGAGATAAGGAGTAGTTCACGTCTCCAATTATTAGAAATGGATCTGACAACCTTGAGCAAAACCCGTTAAGCTCTTCTAATTGTGAGCGCCGACTTGTGACATTATAAGAGAGATAAACCCCTACTAGCACAAAACGAGGACACGCACCATAGCAATGGGAGTTATTATTTATGACCGAAATGGCAATGAAAAAAGAGGTTGAGCCAATAACCGAGACTGAGGCCCCACGTGGCCAACCAAACGCTAGACCCCCCGACAGGCCGGTAGGGTTCACAGGAAAGCAATCTGAAAAACCTAAATGCGACATGAAAGACTCCACTTTGTCTCTAGGAGACATTGTTTCACAAAGAAATAAGAAAGATTTAGACAAGTTTCGGTGAGCTTTTAGCGTTTGAAATGTCAAGGTACTCCCTATCCCTTGACAATTCCACGCGAAGACATTCATTTAGAGTGTTGGGGCCAGTTGGGGCTGGCTACCTCCACCCTTTTTCCTTTGCTGTTGTCCTCTCCTGGGCTCTTTGGTATGGAATTGACCACCCCTTCTTCTGGTTCCTGAATACAGATTCCCATATTCCTTCGAACGTAGACTCTTGGGGACTCTGACGATTCTATCAAAATTGCTTTCCCTTTAGATTTCCCATCCGCCGCACACATTAACGGAGAGCAAGAAAAGACTGTATCTGTAGATTGATCCATACCTCCATTATCAAAGAAATCCATCCCCATTCCTTGAGATCCAAATAAGTGATTATCTTCAAAATCGTCAAATAAAAATCCAGGATCTTCACTGCAATATAAATTACCTAACCCATAGGAGGGTGATGGAGCATGAATTTGGAGTGGGATGGGCTCCAACATTGATTGCTGACCGGGCTGGGCCTTTTCAGTGATGGGCCCGTCAAGAGTTTGGTTTGTTGGCTCGGACTCCACCATCTGTTGGGGTGGTCCGCTGCCAGCCACTTCTCTTGGATGGGCCAGCTCTGCTCTCGGCCCAAGTCTGGAGGAAACAGCCGCTCCCTCAAGACGCTCCCTGGCCCAAACTTCTCTTCTTCCTCGCCTAAAAGACCCAGGCGGGATGAGACTTCCTCCGCCGTATCTCTCGCCGCCGACCCTGGATGGCGCTTCGAGGAGCAAGGTGTTGGAACGAGATTGCGGTGAGGGCCGGGACCCGTGGCGCCAGACGTTTCCTCCCCAGTTTCGTCCTCCTTTGCGTGCTGTCGCGTAGGAGTTTTCATTAAGCTTCGGGCCAGTCCGATTGCCGATAATCTCCGGACCGAACCCATCGTCCCCTGTCACCAAGTCGAATGAGCAGTAGCTTTGGTTGTGGCCAATTCTCCGGCACCTGAAACAAACTGACTTGATATTTTCGTACTTGAGAGAGACCCAGAAAGGATCCCCCAACGAGCCGTCTGAATTTCTCTTCCTGGCTTCCAGACGATGTTGCAATGGGGACGAGACGTCTATCATTACCCTGGCCTTGAACACACATCCCGGGCTTTCCCAGACAGCGTACATTCCAGCATCAATAACAGAGCCCAGGCGAGATGCTAGAAGCCTTCCGAGTGCAACAGTTCTGTACTCTTCGGGCAAATTCCAGAGCTGAACAAGGTAAGGAACTCTGGCGAGTTCGAGGAAGACTCGTTCGGACGGAGATTCCCACTTCTTCAACGTGAGAATTTTGGATTGGAGGAACCACGGAGCCTTCCCCAAGGCTTCCTGCTGATCGGTTGCATTAGAGAAAACAAGCTGGAACAGCCCATGACCTGCATCCAGGACGGTGACAGGGGCTCTTTTTGCCCATAGGTTGTTGGCCGTATGTTGAACCCGAACTCTGGAAGGGTGGGACGAGCACAGCAGACGGCCTATCAAGCTAAGGCGCGCTCTGGTTTGGCCGGCTTCCAGCACTTCATCGTTGAATTCAATTGGCCCAGCCATAATGAGGACAAATGCGAGAAGAATGCTTTCTGTTTTTACCAGCGAGGAACAGGAGAAAAGTTTCAGGTGGCTGGAGTATGAGTAAGAGGGTCCGACTAATATTGGGATTTTAATGAGTTCTCCCGACGAACAATCTGAAGACGGGGAAATTATAAAATGGAAGGCGAAAAAAGGAACAAGGAGCCGTAAGCCGTTGCCCGTTGGCTACCAACATGCTTTGATGCTTAACCTCCTACGCTCCTACGGTCCTACCAAACGCTGGATGTAAAAGTGTACATCCAACGGCAAAGGTCATTTCGGCCATCTTATTCTTCTTTCTCTTGTCCAGTAATGTCATTTTATTGGTCTGCGGGGACATTTGTATCCTTCTAAAAATGGATGGTTCCTCTCTTGTAAAATTTTGATGCTAAATTTTACAGGGAAGATATATCTTTGTAAAAACAAATTTCTTGATTAACTTTTTGTAAGAAAGTCCTCAGGTCAATTTTGCAAGAAATTTCTTCACACAAATTAGAGTCAATCACCAGATGATTGAAGTATAATTTAGAGAACAAAGAAAGAAGCATACAACTTATATAAACACAAAGTCGCCTCATCATAGCTTTCAATCTAGATTGAGCTATGAAAATCTACATAATTTTACTTTTGTAATTTCACTATCGATGTTGTACAAAGAACTAACAAGAGGACTACATCATTATTTGCTCGGGTAGTCATGAAGCAACATATTGACGAGTCTTTGAGTTATTAGAAGATCACAAACACTTGTGCTCAGGATTCTGTGATCGGAGATCAAAGTCAGCCTCTAAATCCATCTCCAAAGAGATGCTAAAACTTGTTCAACCATTTCGACTGATAAAAATCCTATATCATTATAGGCACCGATTGTCGATTTTTCCGGTGGTCGAACATGTACACTTTTTAAGCTTTGGCATCAACTGTATGCCTTTAGGTCTGTGCTAGTGTGCTCCAGCATGTGTGTGACTGGCACTCGTGCCACATGATTGTAACTCGAATTGGGTTTTGAAGTCACGGTGGTGTAATTGGCTGATAATGTCTTCCTCTAGGTCACTTAGAGAGTAGTGTTCTACTCCAGAGCTAATTTAGACCCAACGGCTCGACTGCTGGACGGACATTATCAGCCAAATGGATCGGGAAAACGACAAAGTACAAGCTGAATCGACCTTCCATTGGAGATGAAACAACTAGCCATACTGACAGCCTCCGTATCAATAATTTGATAAAAAAATCGGCTCATCAGCGGCAGTTCGAGGCTACTCCTTAGTACTAGAACAACTTAGTCCTATGCACAACAACTTACAGAAATCATGGCTACCTTGAACAAGCACCATAGATCCCATCCCTCAATATTTCAGCATCTCAAAAAAACAACTCAAAAACAAAAGAGGGGGAGGCAGGGTAAGCTTAACTGGCCGGTTATCTCAACCAGGTGACGGGCGTCAGGTTATTGGGAGGCAGCTCCGGGATGAAGCAGTGCTGCTGCCATTGACGCAGTCCATCATCTCCACCGATGCTGCCAAAATGCCTCCCTTGCTCCATGCTCCCGTGACCATTGCTTTCCTCGACGTCCATTGATGCTACGCCAGTTTCATCCGCCTCCATTGACTCCGGTGCTTCAGCATGGAGTTCTCGCATTTGGTTGCCAAATGAGTGCTGAGATGAACCGACCCACGGTACAACAGCCATGCATCCGCCGCCGTTCGCTGAAGTTTTGTAACTTTCCCCAGCTCCCGCTTCATCATCCTCAACCAGTATCGTTTCTGATCTGAGAAATTGATCCCCTGCAGCGAGGGTTTCGACACAATTTTTAAAAAAAATTAGAGACAATTGAAGAGTGGAAAATCGCTGACAATTCATCGAACACCTAGCCGACATAACAAAAATAGGGAGGAGCACGGAAATAATTCTTACTCGTAAAACCGGAAAGAGCCCCGGAATTCAGCGCGACGGAGAGACTCGAAGGGGAGTAGTACGGACGATGGACGTTCGCTGGCTTGTAGACCACGAGAGCTCTCTCTAGGTTCTCCATCTCGGCCGACGGAGGCAGCGGCGGAACCGTATCCTCCATAGACACCATGGGAGAATCCGCCTCGTACATCGCCGGAGCTATTTCTGCGTCCTCTTCCTCCATTATCGGAGGCAACGACTCAGTAGCCTGTCAACATTATCGGTAATTTCGTGAATGAGATGAGCTACGGCATTCCATTGGAAGAAGAGGAAACGAGACAGAGAAGGGGGAATTAGTAACGGTACCAGGCGGCGGATCTTGAGAGCCGGAGCGGAGAGGGAGAAGTCGGAGAAATCATCACGCGCGAAATCGAGGTCGATGCCCTTCCTCTTGTATCCACATTCTCTAGCCATCGCGAAACCCTAACTGTTTGCAGAGAATTCGATTGACGAGCTGATGATCAATTCTCTTTCTAATTAGTTACTCTGTTCCTGCTGATGAAGTGATTGAGGAGATGGGGAAAGAATTTGAGCTGATTTTATAAAGGGAGGAGAGTGGGAAGGAGAGTAAAAGGGAGGGAGATGAGGGCAGGTGGCGGGAGAGGAAGATAGATTGTGAAATACTGAAATTTCGGGGAGGCCCGTATCTTTCTCTCTCTCTCTCTCTTTGGGGTCTGGACGATTCCAGAAAAGCCTGTAATGGGCCGTTGGTCCAAACCGCAGCAAAAGGGCCCAACAAGAAAGGTCCAGAAGGAAGATATTTATGGCCTGACCTGGCCGTATTTTATGGCTCTTGTTAAATTTACACTATCATCATCCTAATTTCATATTTTTCAAAGTGTCTATTATATTATTTAGAATCTAGAAGTCTTGTAAATGTAAACTAATTTACTTAACAACATTTTCGTGTTTTAGTCGTCCGAATTTTTTTCAAGTTTGGAAATTTATCTTTGCGCTTCCTCCTTTTTCAGCCACTCTCTTTTCTTTTGTACATACTCAAGTAGTGTTCCCCCTTGATGGCTTCTTAAAAATCAATTTTGACACTGATGTCTGCCGGGATTTTTTTGTTCTATAGGTATAGTTATTTCGGGCTCTAACGAATTTGTTAATCTGGCTTCGAGGTGTCATCATCTTGGCATCTCAAACTCGTGCATCCTAGAGCTTCCTGCAATCCGAGTTGTCATTTCCTTTGCATCCAGACTTCAATTGTCCACACATGATTATTGAGGACGATTCAGAAGTCGTCATCTTTTAGCTCCATAAAGAGTGTTTGCTATGACTCCTTGGGAGATCCGACCTTGGCGAGGCTTCCAACGGGCGTCTTTTACAGACGACATGTTTTCTAAGACGGTTCCTCGTATCAATTGAGCGATCCATAAAATGACAGGTAAAGCCCTGTTCATGACAACTTTAGAGTTAGGATCGCTTGATTTTGTGACCTTGTTACTATAGAGAGGGTGTAAGGGGTCTAGGGCTTTTTTCCTTTGTCTCTTGACCTTTTGTAGAACAAAAGGTGTATTGTATCAACCAACATTTAGAGAAAGTAGTTACCATTAACTTAGCATTTTTATGTTAGCTCAGCTTAACAAACTCATAATAAACAAAACCGTTAAGTTCCCATTAACAATTTAGAATACCATAATGTACCTTTGATTTGGATCAAGTCCTTCCAAATACAGGTTTAGCATTTTTTTTTTTGTTAGCTCGGCAATAATCCACTCACAAAAATCAACTGCGTTTCCTCACCCGGTCACCCCCCACCTTGAGAGTACACGATCTCAAGGTACTGAAAGAATAGGACGTAATGTAGGATAAAGAAAAAAGGATAGAAACCCAGCAGCGAAAACCAGAAAGAAGCCCCCTCCCCCTACAAGATCAAACTATTTTTATCTGTTCTACATTTCTACTTAATGATAAAGTTCTCTGGAGGGCTTCTGCTGGCTGCTTCGGCTACGAAACCTGAAAGAATCACAGGGGGCAGCACCAGTTCAAGGCTGTTGTGATGGCCGCGGGAATCGCTCTGATTTCATCTTTCTGCCTCTGCATGATATTGATGGTTCTTCTAGCATTAACTGAATTACACCTTTGGCCACCATTTCTCTGAACCATTTTGGGGGCAAACATGGTTCCATCTTCTACGGGTTCTTTTCTTCCCACAAACCATATAACATAGCCTACATATGCTGCTGCTGCACAAACACTTCTTTACTTGCTCAGTCTGTTCGGTCAGTCCCCTGAAACGTACACCTTCTCGTCGTAGTATTTCTTCTCGCTCTGAGTCTTTTTTGCATTTCGCTTCTGCATCAGGAAAGAGAAAGTGAGGTTGGCCTATTGTTACTGCGAATGATCGTCAGAGCCTCATGCGTTCTTTTGGCTCAAGCGATTGACAAACACCTTTTAAGAACTCCGCCACGGGGGAGGGGAGGTGACAAGCTAAGAATTACCGTGTAAGCCTCGTGGTTAGCAATGATTCGTTTGGTGACTGATGTGGTCGTTATGTCTTTAGGGCTGTCGAGCATCCTGAAAATACCCATGGCCTTTGGGACCGCATAAGGATCACTTCCTCCCTGCACGAAAAGATAAGTTTGGTCACTTACATGTCAGAGTACCAATCTCTTGTGTAACATGAAGAGTCAGGAAGACCTGAAAGCTTACAGGTGATGAGGAGTTTCGCTCTGCAACAGTCCCATGCACAACCAACGAAATGTTGAAAGTCGTTATCTGGAGAAGGCAAATGAGGCTCAACTCAGCACTTTCCACTTCTCACAAACAAATGACTTGATGAAGAAGAGATGTACAGTTCCGAATCACTATAATGTCTCATCACTGCCAAATAGAAGGTAAATCCTATCTGGTTCTGTATGACCCTAGACCGAGCATTTCAAAGCTAAAAGTTCCAGTATATACAGTGAGTTACAGAATGGCAGTCAACATACCACGTCCCTGGAGACCTCCCACGGGGCACCAATGATGACTTCATCAACATAACGGCATGCTAGAACGCTAAGGCTACGCTCATGCAAATGCATGATTGGGTAATACCTCCCTCTCTGTTCACTGCAAAGTGAAACACCAATACTGTTACTTAGAATCCTAATGCGGACATCAAACGATGGATGCTCTTTAGCAAAAGGTCTTTTACACTATTATCAACCAAGAATGCGAACAGTAATGAACTATCCTCATCAGCTAGACAGAAGTGAGCATACCTGACAATTTGATCTGTATGGATCCCAACGAGTACAAAGTCTCCAAGCTGCTTAGCTTTCCTGAGAATCTGAGGAAGATAAGACATACTGGTCAATCGAAGAACATCATCCACGCTCCAAACTTTTTAAAGTTCCAGAACCTTATGCATAGGAATCAATGGTTGATGACAAAAACATGAGAAGTTTCCATATTCCATCAAGATGCATCAGGAAAAACAATTGAACCTATAAATAATTCCATAATGGAATTAAAGGAAGTAGTGCAGTAGCCAGAAACCCGGGAAAAGGAAACAGAAGGTTTCTTAACATAGAGGTACAAGCTAGAGAAGAACCATAAAAGATGGTAGACAAAGGAGAAAGCCAGCTCAATGACAGTAGGAAAAATCTGTCATGGCCTACTAACAAGGAACTTAGAAACACTAATTACCAAAAAATTAACCAAACCAATTTCGTAGGTTACATACCTCAACATGCCCAGCATGGAACAAGTCAAATGCTCCATCAATGTAGACAACACGAGCATTTGGCCCTGGCCCCTGATTCAAGAAAACATACAAGTAAGATCAGCATGCAACATGAGATGGACCGATGAGGCGATGATAGATCTCAACACACAAATTCGGAATTCCTAGGCTTCTGAAATCTATGCTCGAGTTCCGTATGATTCATACAATGAGCGTTGAAACAAACAATACCTTGCCATTAGAAAACTGCACTATCCTTCTAGAGGTTGGTAAAAATTGTGATACATGGGAACTATGGGATTGAGTTCCCTTATCAGCGGGTAAAGGTGATGAACCATCATGGTTGTCTCGAACCTCATTGTCCTTGGTCGTGCAAAGTATCCTTCCTACATTCCCAAAAGCCAAATAAATTAACTGGAGGTCATAATCGTGGTCAATGTACTTTAATACAAAATAGAGAATTCTCGAGACTAGCACTTTCTCGCTCAAAAAAAAGTTTCACCTATTTATTCAATAACTGAGACAGCACATACTATGGATGACATCACCATTTCCAAGAAACTAACCATCTAGCCACCTTCCTTCAACAAGTGTGATAAGACTACTGAGATAGAAGTAGTAGTACCTACAATATCTGTGCTGGAGACACCTTCAGTCCGTTTAATTTGCTTGTAACGGCCGGCTTTTTTGGCCAAGGCATAGGCATCCGTTCCATCAGGAAGAAGGCAAGGATCATCACCATGTATGATATAGTCAATCTTATGCTCATTGAACAGACTGTTCATGAATTGCTCCGTAATAGCATAAGGAGCGTCGGCGATTACTTCATCCACCCATTTTAATCCGCTCACGAGGGCCAATCTGTAGTTCAAAAAGGCATCACAAAGAACCAAACTTTGCTGTCACAATCAGATCCCAGCTCCAGATGAGAAAACCCCCCCATTTCACGATCACGATAGACGTTAAACCAAAAGAAGAATTGAAAGGGGACAAAAACCAAAAGCAAAATGAGGGGACAAAAATTAACCTCTCTTCCATGGACAAAACAGGAGGGCCCTTATTGGCAATGATCTCCTCATCGCTCACAACACCAACCACCAATTCATCCCCCAGGGCCTTGGCTTGTCTCAATGCATTCGCATGACCATAATGCATGAGATCGAAGCAGCCATCCATGTAGACACGGACCCGCTTCTTGTTCTCCCGCCTCTTGGCAGGGAAGATGCCCAGATCGGAGAACATATAGGGGAAAGAAGAGAAGCCAATCCCGCTGAGGTAGCTGGTGGATAAACCCAGCAAGGCGGCGGTGAGCATCAGGCCGCCGAAGAGATGCGGATGGCAGTAAACCCCATCCCAGATCCAACTACTGCTCTCGTAATCCATCTCTCCCCCCTCTTGCTGCTTCGCCGGAAAACAAGAGGTGGAGGAGGAGGAGGAGGAGACTCGCAGCTGGAGAACCTAAAGACGACATTTTGGAAACAATTTCAGGAAATTCGAGACAAACCCACCGAAAATCTGGAAACAACAATCATAACCCAGTTTCACCCGGAATCAAAACTTACCAAAAGTGCGAAACCCGGGAGAAGAATGAAGTTCCAGATCGAAAATGCGATTGGTTTTTTAGCGCTTTTTTTTTGGAGGGGTTTCGCTGTGGGGTAGATCGAAATTGGTGTATTAGCGGGGTTGAGCCGAGGTTGCGTTGCCGGGTCAGGGGATTCGTTCCAGCGAAACTTCGGACAGCCCCACGGCGCGCTTCGTTGAGGAGGAGAGAATTTGTTTCTTCTCGAATATCTCTCTCTCAACCGAAAGAAAAGAAGAAGAAAAAAACTTCTTTGGTTCTGTTTTTGTTACCTTTCCTTCTCTTCCTTCTTTTTCTGTCATTTTGGTTTCCCCCAAAATAATTCATAAAGTACATCAAATGGGGGAATTGTTTTCTTCATTTTTTGTGTGCATTTTTTCTGAGGATTTATATTTATTAAAATAAATACGAATTTCTAGAAGAAAAAAAGGATTAAAAAACAATCCCACTATTGGTCCAGCGTTTTCCACACGCCGTTGCTTTTTGCCTTTATATTATAATATAAATAAATATAATTATAAAAAATAGAGGAAAATACTGGAAAATTGCTTTTTGGTATTATTTTACTTTTATTAAACTGAAAAAAACGGCTTTGTGCAAAGAGACCACAACACTAACACGCCCTTTTTTTCTTGCTCCGTAGAGTCGCGTTCTTGGATCTACCACGGGGGATTAGTCTTGAAGGTAACCAAATTCATCCTCAAACCAAACAAAGAAAAGACTCGGGTGAGGAGACCGAGCGTATAAAGAAGCTCTTTCTTTCTGGGCCTAGGCCTAAAAAAAAAGCAGACAGTATCGAAAAGGGAAGTCACTCACAAGGGCTTTAAGTTTGCACAGGTCTTAAGACAAGAATACCATGTGCTTAACAAATGGGAGTTACCGGGAATCGAACACAAGACCTCTCGGTCACAGAAGGCTCTAATACCATGTCAAGAACCAGTTGACCCCAATAACTCGAGTTGTTGGGGGAGGTTCAATCGTGGATCATATACGACAACACTAACACTAGCAACTCTCCTCGTAATAGTCATTCGATTCATCTCAAAACCATCTCAATATTCAATTGTATCAAATCATGTTTGGCAAACCTCGACGTCGGCTCCAATAATCTTAACGGTGGGTTGCCGTCGTGTTTGGCAAATCTCACATCACTTAGAAGCTTAGACCTCTCTGACAATCACTTCACACCGAAGATATGATGTCTTAACTCACCACTCAAAAATCTACTGTTCATAAAAGATCTGTCTGTCTTTGTCAGACAACCATTTCCATCTCCCAATCTCCCTAACCCCATTTTTCAACCACTCAAACCTCCAGAAACTTGAAGCCAGGAACAATTATATAACAGGAGCCTATGCAAACGATGAGAAGTACTCGCCTAATTTTTCGGTTCCCGAGTTCCAACTGCAGACCCTTGACTTGTCCAGCAGCCAGAGTCTTGTTCCTGGACAGCCATTCGCCCATTCCCCAACTTTCTATACCATCAGAGGCATCTGCAGTTTCTTGATCTGTCGCATGATTCATTTCGAGGTGGTTTCCCGTCCTGGTTGCTGGAGAATAACACCAATCTGGCTCAACTCATTCTGGCAAACAGTTCTCTTTCAGGGATCCTCCTGCTACCCAACCAATCTCACTTGCTACTAACAGCCTTGGACATCTCAATTCTCAAGCAATGCCCTTGAAGGAAAGGGATTGTCCCAGTTGTACCAAGGAACTATTCTCTTCTACATCTCTGGAATAGATCTCTCCAATAACAGTCTGACAGGCGAAATCCCACCTGAATTCGGCAACTTTACCAACATCAAGGTACTGAATTTGTCTCATAACTTTCTCTCTGGATCCATCCCGTCGACATTCTCCAACTTGAAGCAAATTGAGAGCTTGGATCTATCATACAACAAGCTCAACGGAACAATCCCCAACAACCTCGTCGAGCTGAACTTCTTAGCAGACTTCAGTGTGGCACACAATAACTTGTCAGGCAAGACACTAGGAAATGTAGCACAATTTGGGACATTTGATGAGAGTAGCCACCAAGGCAATGATCTGCTATGCGGATGGCCTCTGCCAAAAAAATTGCTACCACACAAGAGAGGATGATGGAATGCCGGAAGCCCCTCCTCGGATCAATGAGGAAAGTGACGGTGATGGTTTCACAGATATGGGTGCTTTCTTTGTCAGCTTTTCAGGATCTTACGCAGTGATGCTGCTGGGAATAGTGACAGTTCTGCGGGTAAACCCATACTGGCGACGAGCTTGGTTCTATTGCGTTCAAGTAGCCGCGGCAAGCTGCTACTACTTTGTGGTCGACCATCTACCAGTTCCGATGAAGTACAGAGTTTCACATCCACGCTGCTTCTAGGAGCTAGGCAGCAGGCATCATCACGAGCATTTATTTGAACCAAAGCTGTATGACGAGAGTTCATTCATCTTCAGAAGACGAACACATCTTTGTTTACCTGAGCTTCAAAACTCCATGTCTCCTTTTTTAATGCTTTCAAGTCTCAACTCTCATTCTTATCCATGTCTGCGTGGATATTTGTAACTCATCTCATGTTTCCTATCATCGTTAGGGTTAGCTTACTTGAAATGGTGCACCCACCAGGACCCTCCAACATTCTTTATTTGCTCCTCAACCCGGGAAAAAACCAAGCATGACACAAGTAAAGGGGGAAATGATCGTGAAAACGTATTGAATATATTCACCGGTGAGACGAACGGTTTAAAGTAATCGTAGAATTAGGATAGCAAGACCTTAAAAAAGTGGTGATAAAAGCACACCGGCTTGGTCACCAATAAATCGTTTAGACCAGTACAACCGGTGAGTAAGGTAAGGTATCACAACTCTGAACAAAAATGCAAGATTATCACTGGTGAAGAAAAAAGTGTTCAAGGATTACAAAACATAGTAAAAACCACCACCAAGACATAGATGAAGAGAACATACAGAGTCACCATTGCAGGCGAAAGAGTCAGAAGCTTGTCGAAATGGAAATAGACAAGAGACTAAATCCATAATCCATACGTTCTGCAATTATTTTGTTTCACGATCTTTAGATGAACTCAAAGAAACTTCCTGTACGGCCTGCCGGCATCTTCATCTTGCATATGCTGTCACCATAGTTGTCAGGAGACTTATCAGAAATGTAAAAATGAATTGCAGCAGTGAAAGCTAATATGCTTGCTAACCAAAAGAAGCCATTTTACAACTCTTGGCAACTTAACTGAGCCAACACTGTAGTCCTGTTTCAAAAAATTTGCTTACTACACTAACCATAACAAGATGTACAAGCTAGCACAGCAATTGCTCCCTCTAGACGATTTCAAGAAAGCATGCGTACGTACTTTGTGAGAGGCTCGGAAGGGCATGGCATATATGCATGTTATGAGGATTTTGAACCATAACACCAAAATTAAAAGAAAAGCGAAAACCAAAGCAGCCTGTCTTCTCGCAAGCTAGCTTTTATCCTTTTTACATCTAGCACAGACTAGAAAAGTGGCAAATATTATCTAAGAAACAATTTGCTAGTTGGTCTATCATCACCTCACTTCCACAACCCATCTTGCCTTCCTCCAATCTATTATTTCTCTCTGCTGCAAGCCTGCGACAAATTGAACTCAGATGACAGCAGCCACCATAGCAGAGTTTTCTTCATTTGTTTCTATAGTAGAGCATTTGTCTCTCAGTCTCTACCATACTTCTTAGACCTAGCAACCCAATGATCTTCCCTCACATTCATCAATGCGGGCTTCACCTCACAATTTGAAGACAACCCAGTAGCTTAAAGATCTTTGGACCACATAGGTCATTGTGAATACAAGTCACAGCAATGACAAGAGTATCTCTCTACTGGTGAGAGGTGACACATACTGAATCATCACCAAGTCATTACTACGTAGAAAACCAGCAACCACTACGACTTCCGAAATGCCTGCCTTCCCCTAAAAGTTCAGCCTATAGCTACAGCGAACTCAGAACATGAAACAAGGAAATGAACAAACTATCCAACAAACAAAGACTGAAATGAACACTCAATTTTTTTTAATCTTCTTCAGAAACCCAAATCGACACATTACCCTAACAATTTGGTCACCGTCATTAAACGATGGCAGCATCCAGTGGGATGAAGAAACGGTAAGAGGAAGGAAAATGAAGCCGAAAAAGCGAAATCCATCATCCTTAAACAACCAGTAACAGTGTCACAACTAAATCCCAATCGTACCAGCACAATTCGATCAGCAAATGAGGGGAAAACGTTCATTGGCCAACAGAAACCAGAGAGCAATTTTCCAGAACGACGCCAGGAAAAAAGTCAAAGAGAAAGGCTTACGAATTCCTTGACGGTCCCCTTGTAAACAAGGATGGGGAGGGCGATGCCGAACAAGCCGATGAGGGCAAAGTTGCGGCGAGTCCATCGGAAGTTGTGCTCCAGGTTCTCGCGGGCGGCGCCCCAGTCTTCGATGAACTTGTTCTTGTTTGCCTCCATTCCCCCGCCCATTTTCGCCGCCTCTCTTTCGATCTCCTTTCCCTCTCTCCGATCTGCAACTCCGCCCCGTCAATTCGTCGCAGCCACCGTCTGTTCTACAATCTCTGCTGGTTGCTCCACCCACTGCTCCAGCTCGCGATTGGCCGAGAGAGGAAAGCCGTTTGGTTGCAAGGATTAATCCGTCACTGCGTTTTTCATTGGTACCGCTTGGGCCGGGCTTTCTCGTCAACGACGGGTTCGACTTTGTGGCCGGCCCATCATCCGGTGGATGGAGTAAAATATTTAAAAATTAACTAGCTTTGATAAATTTCGATTATATGTTACCGATTTCAATCTCATTATACTGAATTCGAAATAATACTCTAAAATAAATTTTAAATAGTGGTAAATTCATTCCAGTATCCCGCAATATCCCAAATCAGTGCCAAACTTCCAGCCCTACTGTTACGAAGCAAGTTGGAACTACAGTTACAGGCTTATAGCTGTTTGTTTTAGGGCTGCCAATGAGTCAAGCTGCTCGCGAGCAACTCGGCGTTCGAATCGGGAAAAAATCGCTCGACACCCGACTTGTTATTTAACAAGCCGGCTCGCGAGCCAGCTCATTAGTAAACGAGCCAAGCTTGAGCTAGACCATGCTCAGCTTGATAAGCTCGTGAGCTAGTTTGACTTGGTGGCTTGTTGAGCTAAGCTCGCAAGCTGGGCTATTTAGAGCTAGTGAAATGATTAATTACTCTTTTGAACATTAACATTATCTTGTTAATACGGATGTGTATGGAAGTAAGTTGTTATTTTTAGTTTCTAATGTTCTTTTTGTCATTTAAATTCTTATGTGTGCACAATTTCTGCAAGAATGATTTCAAATCGAGCTTATTTTAAGCCGAGCTTATACTCAGTTTGACAAGCTGTGTTAATGAGCATTTAACGAGCTCTACCGAGTCGAGCTCGAGCTGGATTATTTTTAATCGAGCTGAGCTCGAGCAGGATTATTAAAATTCGAGTTCGAGCCAAGCTTGAGCTGAAAAATTTATAAACGAGCCGAGCTCAAGTTAAGCTAAGCAAAAACTCGGCTCGACTCGTTTGCAGCCCTAGTTTGTTTATGCATAAACACAAGTATACGGATGCCCTGCCTTGCAAAAGAGAACAAACGTTCAAGCAAGCAAAAAGGGATCACAATTTACAGCCTAGCTATCCCAGTTCATCTTCCCTGTCAATTACAGAGAGTTGCTCAAAATATATACTACTCTGCTACACCTCATGCCATTTCCCATGCCGAACTGCAAAATATAATACCAAAAAGAAGGCTCACATTCACGAGGAACCTTCGTGCATACCCTGGCCGGATGTCGAGAAGGGCAGAGAACCCCTCAGATCTTACTTTACTCCCGCAGTAATGCTTGCACGAGAAGCAAGCGATCCGAGTTGTTATCCAAACTATAAAACAACTCAAGCTGCCTATCTTCGTTTCTCAGCCTCCTCATAGCAGCAATCACTTCGTGTCGAGTGAGTCCTTCAATCTTTTCAAGCTCCGACAGGACGTTCTCCCTCATATTACAGAGCTCCTTGCTCTCGCCAAGCACTTTAACAACGAGTTGCGTTGCCTTGGTTATGAGAGTTCGCAATCCACGAAGCTCATCTGTCATTTCAGTAATGATTTCGACGAATTTCGCCTCCTGCTCGTCTTCATCTTCAGAATCATACTGATCACTATCCGTAAGGTATTCCATTTCGTCTATTTCGTTCTCCCCAACAGACTCAGCACTGGCTGCACAATCCTTACCAGAAATCCATGGAAGGTGACTAGACGCCATCAATCTGGAAAAAAAGGTACAGAGAAGTTTACAGCAACCACATTAATAACCTATTTACTTAAGACCAACCCATAATGCTAAATTAGTTGGTACATAATATGATCAAAAGGAGATTACATAACCCACGAAGGTACTCTTGAGTAGCAGGAATACATATCAAGTTTCATAAGATGACGGCTAACAGCAATTACATGATTCAACAATCAAATCAGTACAGCATTCATGAGCATGCAACCTACTCTATTAACTCAAACGAGAAACTGCTCTAACCTTGGTGAAAAACAGTAAGTTTAAGCAACCTCTTCAATTAAGCTAGAAGAAAATTACTTCTCGACTTCTGTATTAGAATCAAGGGCTCTGCAACAATGTGCTCATGTATCGAACTCATATAGTAGAAAAATTCACAAACACCTTAAGAGCAAACCACTTCTATACCCAAAATACATAGCTTCCAATCGGTACAAGTACAACCAATTCAAGGTTTGCCATCCGGAACCCTAAATATGAATTCGCTCGTGATACAGTCACACTTCAGCTATCAGAACCAAGGTTCCTCGGCGAGTCGCCGCCTACAGTTAACCGGGTCCAGCCATTTCCCAGTAACTGCAGTATTTGCAACAACTAGATCAACTTCCAGAGTTGCTTCCTACTTACTGAAAACCCTAAAATTTCATAGGATAACTCTCTTCAAGCCGCATTTCTACTTTGCTCGAAGCACCTCTACCTGACACGATACCGAAGGGGGCTAGAAATGCTTACGATGATAAAAGAGGGGAGTTGCTAAAGGTCGCCCTTAGAATTACTAAAGGTCGCCCTAAAAAAGTTTAAAATTACAATTATAACCCCCTATCTTCTTTACCTTCCCTTTATCAAACAAACACCACTTGGACAAAAAAAAACACTATCCAAGAAGAGAAAAATCCATCATCGTCATTTTGAAGCCGATATCGTCGATAGGACGTCTGAATCATGAGTAGCGACTCCGACGAGATAAATACATTAACTGAAAAACGAAAAAAAAAAAAAAAAAAAGGGAACCGCGGTCAAACTGCGGTTGGACCATGGCTGGACCGCGGTCAAACTGCGGTTGGACCATGGCTGGACCGCAAATGACCTGCGGTTGGACCATGGCTGGACCGCAAATCACCTGCGGTTCAGCCATGGTCCAACCGCAGGTCATTTGCGGTCCAGCCATGGTCAAACCGCAGGTCATTTGCGGTCCAGCCATGGTCCAACCGCAGTTTGACCGCGGTCCAGCCATGGTCAAACCGAGCGTTGACCGTCGGTCTAACCGCGGTTTGACTGCGGTCGGCACGGTTTTTTTTTTTTTTTTTTACCTTCTTCTTCTCCGGCGGCGGTGAGCGCGCGACTTCTTCTTCTCCGGCGGGCAAGGAGACTTCTTCTTCTCCGGCGGCGAGCGCGCGACAGGTAAAGGGTCGTCTGCGCGTCGGTGGACCAGGAGGCAGAGCAGGTCGCCGGCGACGGGAGCGACACGGCGGCAACGACGGGAGCAGGAGGCCGGCGACAGGAACAGTAGAGGGGGAGGGGTTCGCCGGCGGCGACTCGGAGAGGGTGGAAGGTTTGTGGATTCGTCTGCTGCCGAAGGAAAGGTAAAGGGTTGTTTGGTTGTCCTATTTTTTCAATTTTCATTAAGGGTATATAGGTAATATGACATTTAAGTTAGGGCGACGTTTAGCAATTCTTAGGGCGACATTTAGCGATTCAGTAAAAGAGCTAGCTTTCAGTTTCAGATGATTCGCATCGTTCTCCCCGAGCCCTGCAAAAAGACTAATGCATTTCTATACTAAGAGGTAAAAACTAAAAACTGCGGCTGGAATGCAAGCGACCGATGAAGAACAGAACATTTCTACAGGTCCGAAAGAAAGAAACGGTAGGTGATGCAGAAAAGCAATGTTTGAGGCTGAAAACAGACGCACCTGCGCTGGAGCGAACTCTAGAACTTCCGTCGCCGGAATCGAGTGGAAGAAGGTGAAGTCGCAGTAGTTAACCTAAAGGGCAGTAACAATTTTGTTAGACCGTCACAACGGAGTAAAAACGGTAAACTTTTTTTTTTCTTTTTCAAAAAGATAATCTTGTATTGATTAATAATAGATCAAATTCATTACAACCTTAGATCAAATTCATTTATGATCTAATCTAATCAAGTCAATTCAATAAATTCTTTCAAATTCATAATGACAACAAATTCATTATATATAGAATTTTTTAAAATTCAAGTTTTACCAAAACTGTCAGTTTTAAAATCGATGAAGTTAACCATCCTAGATTTTCATTCCATTAAAATTCAACAAGAAATCTTATTAAAGGTTTCAAATTAAGGTTCGTGACACTAAAATTGAGTTTGAGTATACAAATAATATTGTGGATTGATGAATTAACAAGAATGACCTTTCTTCAAAATCCTTCCACGAATTTGAGGATTTTGACATTTTGTTTTAATATTGTATTTTATTTAAATATGCATGTCGATGTTATTTGTTGGATTTAAATATAAATATGTTGATGATGACATTTAAAATTGTATTGAAATCAATGTTTTTTAATGATACAAATCGGTCCGACCAAAAAACCGCCTCCAAGAGCCCAAGTAATATATGATTTTGCTGGTATGAAACTGTTGAACAACGATTAAACTAAGATTTTACTATAGAATACCCTATCATTAACTTATTTGGTACAAACTCCATAGTCATTTAACAATCTCTTAAATTAATACGAGAATTTGTGATTTTGATTGTAATATTATATCTTATTTAAATATGAATGTAACTTATAGCGATATTGTATTAAGATAAGTTATACATACTGATAATGTACGTATAATTTTTTTGGCAAAATACACTCGCATAGCCACAACTTTCCACTTTGTGCCAACAATAGCCAAATTTTGAAAAATACAGAGAAATAGCCAATCCGTCTAATACTTTAACGGATGAACTTGAACTGCGGACTAGGCTAACGGTTCGTGCTGATGTGGCACGTCTCCAACGCTATTGTTGCCAGATGGAATTGATGATTTTTTATTTTTTTTATTTAAAAAATATAAAAACGAAAAAGGCCCCTCCGTTTTCGCCCAGCCCCTTTTCGTCGATCTCTAACCCTACCAATTTCACTTTCCACCCGACGAAACCCTTTCCGTTCTTTCCGATCGACGGCCCACTGCCGTTGACAGAGACGATTTGGTGCGGCCTCCGCCGACTGCTGCCTGTCGCGACTCGTTTATTGGGCGTCCTTTCCACTTCCTCTCATCTGGGCGTCTTTGCTCCCAAATCCAACATGCATCCCGACGGCGGATAAAACCAACGCCGCCGACCCGACTTCTCTTCGCTGATGCCGCTGCAAGTCCTCCCTCCGCACACACAGACACAGCTCTGTCGTCAACGAGAAGTCCAGATCTGGAGATAGGCTCAGCCGTCACCGTCGCCGTTGAATCCCGACCATGGGGAGAACGACCCCAATTCACTGACGCTGCTGCTGCCGCTGCAAGTCATCGCTCAGTCACCACTCCGCCTTCTCTGTAGATGGGTGGCAAATCTGGAGATGCGCGCTGACGAGAGCTAAGATACAACGCCCAGTCTGAGCGATGTAGGGTACTTCTCTACTCGCCGGTGAGCGAGGATTAGAGGGAGGAGGAGGAAGCGACAATTGATTTCTGGTCCTTCATTTTGGGTTTTTGCAGCCGAGAAGCATGGGTGGAGAATTTTCTGGGAATGAAGGCGGACATAACAGGGGAACAGGAAGAGGGAGCTCGAGGGGAGCAGATTTTGGGTTTTATTGAGATTCCAATATGTCGGTTCTGGGCTTTATTGGCAGGCTGAGTTATTTATTGGATCTGATTTTTGGGAGATTGACGCAATTTCTTCGCCTTCTTCTTCCCGCTATGTCATCCCATCACCTGGATCTCCGGCCTCTGTCGACGTTCCATTCTCCTGACGAATCTATGCTGGTGAATGGCTGGTGATTCAAAAGCTTGTGGAGAAGAAATCTGGGGATTCCTGGATGGCTGGATACACCCATGGAAGGGGAAGGTAGAATTGAGTGGTAGGTATGAGTTGTTTATTAATAAAAATAAATTAATGAATTTTTTTAATTAAAATTGGACGTGGCGTCCAGGTGGCATTGTGTGTCTTGTTGGAGCTGATGTGTGAGCTGATGTGGCATCCATCTCACGGAGTCACTAACGGTGTTAAAGATTTTAACAGAAATGGTTAAATCTGTCAAATTACTTTTCCAAACGTGGCTATTTCTCTGTATTTTTCAAAATTTGGCTATTGTTGACACAAAGTGGAAAGTTGTGGCTATGCGAGTGTATTTTGCCTAATTTTTTTTATAAATACATATTCATACTTTTGGTGCTACTAATTTATCATTTTTCCTCAAAATTTTATTAAATTGACATAATCAACATAACCACCAATTGTACTCCGATCAAATCATACCCGACTTGACAATCTTGGTTGTGACGAATTATTTCATTAGTGTTCCCTCCAAATTTCAAACATATGATGTTCCCTCCAAATTATATAATCCTGGTCCGTTTCTACTGTTCTCATTCAGGCCCATGCAGTTTTTCGGCCCATGATTGTTTGATTACCCTCTGTTTCGCCTTATTCTCCGCTGACTCATTTCAGATATATCCTTTTTCCAGTCTCAGTTTCATCTCCAGACCAAAAATGGAGGCGAAATACACTAAAATATGGAGGCCATGGCCCGGAATCGACGGTGGCGACGACAGGCTCAGCTCTTTACCGGACCAAATCATCTCCTACATCCTCTCATTCATGGAAACCAAGTACGCCGTCGGCACCGAAGCTCTCAGTCGACGGTGGGAAGGTCTCTGGACTAGGGTTTCGAATCTCGACCTCGACAACCGCTTGGTTTACGACGACTCTTCGGGCGACGATCTGAAAATTGTATATGCATCGGATGCTAAGAGGAGAGACTCGCAATTTTGCCACTTCGTCGACAAGGTATTGGGAGAGCACAAGAATCTCAATTCTCTTACTCGATTCCGCTTCCATTTCGCAGTGGAGCACCGTCAGTATTCCACGGTGCTTCGTAGAACTAGGTTTAAGAGAGAATTGGTGTTTGGTCCTGCCATTGAGGAGATTGATGTTAGGGTTTGTGGGGAAACAGCACTCGGGATCCCCCAATGTATGCGCTGCATTCCAGAAAACTTCTACACTTTGAAGAATCTGAAAGTTGCTAGGCTTTCGGGGGTCGTACTGGGTGCGATAAACCGGCCCGTCTTTCTTCCTAGTCTGAAGATTTTACAGCTTTCGTATGTTAAGATGAAGGACTTTGAGTCGTTAGGCAGGATCATTTCTGGTTGCCCTGTTCTGGAGATTTTTCACCTGGAGAGTTGCCACCCTTCCAGCAAGAATGAGAGTGACAGAATCGAGGTTTCCTTACCGCGTTTGAAGAACTTTAAGGTTAGCGATTATGGGAATTGGGATGATCCCATGTGTCCCATTGTTATTGAAGCGCCGAATCTTGAGGATCTTTATCTCGAGCACTTCGCTGAGTTGCAGTTCAAAGGCAAAATTCCATTGTCGCGCCTTCATGTGGCACATGTTGATGTAGGCCAGGACTGTCGAACCTCGTATCATGATGTGATTCGGCTCCTTTCTCAAATCTCCAATGCAAGAAAACTGAGCTTATCTGGGGAGACTCTGGTAATAAGGTCCAATGTTTTCTTTTCCAGTGTTCAATTTTGTTCATAAGAGCACTATTTTTTTCTTAACTTTTTGTTTCAACAGGTTCATCTGTCAGCTGCCACCGATGATGATGTTCGACTGCCTATCTTTCCCAATCTGACGCATTTGACAATTGGAATCGGGCTATTTGGGCCAACTAGCTGGTTTCTGCACTCTTTGCTAAACTCAGCCTCCAAACTACAATCTCTTGTCATTGACATGGTAAGAACACTGTTCATTTGATTGTGATCTGTCCTTCAGTAACTTTTCTAATGAATCTCTACATGAAGCAGAGGGGTCACTGGGGAGTACCATTGAGGTGGGAGGGTCTAGAAACTGCTTGCACGCCACACTGTTTGTTATCAAGCCTGGAGGAAATCGAGGTTAGGGAACTCGTAGCATATCCAGATGAGAAGAAAATGATAGCGTATTTGCTCAAGTCCGGAGCTGTATTGAGGAAGGTGAATATGCATGTAAATAGTCGCTTTCTCGAGTTAATGGGACGCAAAGATCTCGTCGCGCTACTAAAGCTTCCAAGACGATCGAGCACTTGCCAAGTTGAGCTTTTCTTTCCCTTTGAGGATGACCGAGATAGCTACATCGGCAGCGATGATGAGAGTGACACTGACGACAACGTAGATGATGGTGACTCTGACAGCACTGATGACAAGATCGATTGCGAAGATGATGCCAGCGACAGTGAAGAGGATTCTCTCTGAAGCATTTCGGTATGCAAGGAAGGGGGTCTCCGAATTCCCCTTGGGTAAAGATTCTCATATGCTCTCTCTTCTTATTAGATGAGTTGTCTCTTTTTAGAGGAATGGTTTGGATGCATATTAGAGTGTAGCATTTGTTGGATCATTCGGTGACGAACAGAATGTTATAAGCTCTTGTCTAGATTGCTTCGTAAGCTTGCTTTGCTCCATGTTGACTACAAGGTAAACACATGCAGCTTTCCCACGGCCCCTCCTAGCCTTCTCGGCCTCCCTAATCCATTGTTAGCTAACCTGAAACATGTGTTCTTGAACAGTCTCATCGACGGTAAGGATTCGAGGGCTCGAAAGATGATCAGTCAAGGAAACCAGCGTCCAGAATCCTTGTATATTGTACTAGGCACGTGTTAGAAGTAAGGATTCTCGATTCATTACATTACATCCATATGTGAGATCGTCGATGAATTTGCATGATTCTGGGTTTTGGCCATGGATTTGTAACTTTTGGTGACGGGAATCACGTCCGCCGCTAAAGGCTGTTATGATTCTTCAGATTAGCATGACCGGGTAGGTCCCTAATCTTCGGAATGTGGCTAAATCAGTCCCTCAAGTTTTATAAATGCTAAAATGAGTTTTATCATTAGAAATTACAGAATGAAATTTATCAGTAATTAATTAATAAATTAACTAGTCCAAATAATTAAGTGAGTCTTTTCGGTTACCGATTAATTAATTTGTAGTTAATAAGTTGGTTCATATAAGTGAAAATGTCAAATAGTATTCCCATAATCTATTTAATTTAATTTCATTCAAATTATTAATGAGTGTGCTAACTGGAATATTATGTTTAAAAGAGAGCACTGTCACGAAAGTTTTCAATTTTGTAGCTAAAGGGTTAATTGCATGGTTGGTCACTGAGATTACAAAAAGCGTTCATGTTTGGTCACTATAAATATTTAAATCTATTTTTGGTCACTAACTTTACAAAAACCGTTCATTTATGGTCACTCTCCGTTAGCTGACGTTAACGGCGTCCGTTAAGTGATGACGTGGCTAACGGATTTGCCTAATTAGTACTTTTTAACCCCAAAATTGACTGACATGACCCGCCACGTCATTTAAACCCGCCATGTCAGCTAAACCTAACCAAACCTCTACCCAAACCCGACCAGACCCGCTAACTAAACCAAACCAGACCCCCAAAATTGTTTGACTAAAACCCTAATCGCTCCATCCCGCGCAGCCTTCATCCCTTCCGTTTTTCTTCCTGGAGATTTTCAAGCTGCTCGGGAGATCGTAAAACGCCGTCGCATTGCCCGGCTCGGCGGTCCGGCACCTGTGCTTCATCATCCTGTTGTGGAAGACGATCTCTGACACGAATTGATCGGTCCAGAACCACGCCGGCGCCAAATCCTCCGGCACGATGCCGTAAACTCCCGCCGCCGCCTGCTGCCCGAACCCGTAATTGGCCAGCGAGTCGCACCGCGAGCTCCACGGGTTCAATTTCTCGCAATTCTCGATCAAGTCGGTGCTCAAGCTGCTCGGGAGATCGTAAACGTAGATGTACCCGTGCTCGCAGCGATGCGAGTAAGTCTCCTCGTCGACCGCCACGGCGGCGGCAGAGTCGGACCTTACTGCGACGGCGGACGCAATGATGACTGGCTCAGAGACAGCGGCGGCGGGACTGGGAGAAGACGGTAGGCGGCGGTGGAAGCCGTGGAAGTGGAAGGGGACGGAGCGGAGAGTGAGGAGGAGGATCCCAACTACCCTTCTTATGGACGCAGAGGAACAGTAACCCTAGAGTCCAATTCCCTAATTAGACTCTGTCGATGCTTCCACTCACCAATTCTCCGCCGCCGGAGTCCACCAAGATTAAAAAGCCCAAACTGGATGAGACAGTCGTGTTCACGGCTGGATCCGTAGGTAGAGACGCAAGAGGTCAATGCGGATGCTGCGAGATTGAGATTTGAGACAGTCGGAACATCGCGTGGCGTCGGTCGTAAAGCAAGCGGCGTTTTACGATCTCCCGAGCAGCTTGAAAATCTCCACGAAGAAAAACGGAAGGGATGAAGGCTGGCGGGATGGAGGCAGTCTTCGATTAGGGTTTTAGTCAAACAATTTTGGGGGTCTGGTTTGGTTTGGTTTAGTTAGCGGGTCTGTTCGGGTTTGGGTAGAGGTTTGGTTAGGTTTAGCTGACATGGCGGGTTTAAATGACGTGGCGGGTCGGGTCAGTCAATTTTGGGGTTAAAAAGTGCTGATTAGGCAAATCCGTCAGCCACGTCATCACTTAACAGACGCTGTTAACGGCAACTAACGGAGAGTGACCATAAATGAACGGTTTTTGTAAAGTTAGTGACCAAAAATAGATTTAAATATTTATGGTGACCAAACATGAACGCTTTTTGTAATCTCAGTGACCAACTATGCAATTAACCCTGTAGCTAAAAATGCGAAATCATGCGTATATGTATTATAGGAGGAAAAATAAAATTCACGACAGTAATTGTAGTAAACTTCGGAGACTGATAATAGGATCTCCTCATGAAAAACAAATCCCTATTATCGTACTCAAATTATTAATGGGTCATATGCTAACTTGAATATTAATCAGTCCCATGAATAAGTTGTTAAAAAAATATTATAGGAGAAAATAAATTGATGGAAAATAAAGTGGTGAACACGAAGGATTTTGTATTAATCTCTTGTGAGTGAAATGATGATAGTAGACTACAGAGACCGATAAAGGGAACTTCTCATTTCTCGATACTGCAATAGCTCTCTTAAGCAACAAATCATTTTGCCCCAACAAATCGAATTGTGAGAAGTTTTGTATGTCATTTCTTTTTATTTTTACATACTATCTCAAACAAAGTCTTGTTGTAAACTTTCCGTTTTCACAGGTTTAACATATTACCCCTTATGCTAAATCATTGTCTATATTAGGGAGTGTCATAAGTCATAACGATTCGAACACGAGACTTCTCGATTGAAGGCTCCAATACCATATTAACAACAAATTAAGTAATCTCTACAATTCCAGTCGTTGAAAAATGTTTTGTTATCAGTTTATATGTCATTCTTTTTTATTTTACAAGCTCTGCTTGGAAAATAAGTGAAAGACACTAACCATACTCGTCCCAACTCCCAAGCCCATTAGAAACATGGTTGATAAAAGAATCAACACTTGAATTTAAGACCCTCCAAGCTTTGGAGGGAAGAGGCCAAGGTCTTTCAATAAACAGGGATGACTGCACATAAATGGTCTGAGATCGGCTGCTTCAGCAGATTGGCAGGGCTGTTTATAATCTTATTGATCAATGGGTATAAATAGCAGCGCAAGGAACCAATTAGGCAATTGATTACCTTTCCTTTTCTCTAATCGACCTTTCGGAGTTCAAACATGGACTCCGTTCAATACCGCTGAAGCAGCAGCAAGGTCTGCCTTGGGGCTGCTGCGTCGGCGAATTTTCAGATAGCCGAACTTGCCAGCACCAGGTGACGATCCTTCAAACACATACGGCATGAACCCTGTGGCGCTCTTGTATCTCTGCTGAATCTGTGGCAATTGGAGAAGAGATTATCTGTCAGGCAAACTTTTATTCTCTGGAAACAAACAAACTGACAGGATTGCTTGGCTTGCAAGATATTGATACTCTGGTCGTGCTAAATTCTTTGTACCTCGCGAATTTGTTCGCTGCTTCTCACGCTCTTCTCGCCCATGACACAAACTGTTCCGCCGCTACCACCACCAGTGATCTTTGCTCCGTATAGAGTCCCACTGAGTCGCATCATCTGTACCAATTCCACCAGTCTGTCTGTGCCAACGGAACCCAGGCCGCAAGCACTGTAGCTGTAGTGGCACTGCAAGAGAAATGGACGACCAGAAAGTTACTCTCGACTGAGATTCTCTGGCGCTTGGAAATGGAGAATTAGTTTAGTTGCGAAGAAATGTCACTATGGGGATACACAAAACCTGATACATAAGCTCCCCTAGAGCTGAGAGTTGTTCGTCCGAGGCAGCAGCTGTTAGCAATGATTTAAAAGCCTGCAGATCAAGCAAGCGAACAGATGTGAAATCGTTGAACTGAAAAATTAATATATAAATACAATTGGAGAATGTTAATGCCAACCTTGACTCGGGAATTCTCGTAAACAGGATGTGCGGTAGGTGCTTTAACAGCATAGGTCAGATCTTTGTTGACGACAGTGACAGGATCATCATGACTCGCGTATTTGGTTAAGAATTCTTCACCGGTGATTCGTTCTGGAAGCTTATTTGCATACCCACCTTCATACCTGTAAGAGAAAAACACAGCAGGGTAAGACTGGGAAGTTGTCCTGAAGCCCACAAGCTGGCCATCAAGTTATTATATATTAACGAGCGCATATTTCTTGTGGTGAAATGATGTGCTTTTGAGATCAACGTAGTAATATAGCTTGGCATAGTAGAATCATTCGTTACAAATGTCCTGTGCTTAATTATTTCGATTGAATTCAAGTGTTTGCCCGCCTGAACTTCTGACCAGGAAGGCCTTCTCACATACCTGTGAGGTGGCAGGTTGCACAAGTACGCTAATGAAGCTTCGGCCTCAAGCAGTTCTGTGCTATTCCTTCCCATCTCATCAGAGTTATTTTCCTTTACTTTGTTACAGGCCATCGACTTCATCATCTTCCTGCCCATGAAAGTACCAATCCTCACCGAACCATAGTCCGAACCACCAACACTGTGAAAGGACAAGAAATGAAGTCATATCAGTTAATGATTTGAAAGCAAGTTTAACGCCCCTATTTCCTTACTGTTGGAAGAAAACGGCATGGACAAGCTCTTTTAAGTTGAAACAACACAGTATTGAAGTACATAATGAGAAACAGGTATTGGGTCAACAGTACTTTCGACTATTACATCTCTCACGTGGTAATACCAAAAAAAGAAAAAGAAAAAGAGAGAATGCCATTATATACCTGTGTCTAAGACCTGAGTCAATCCCCCAGAATTTTATATGAGAAGGGATATCAACCAATCCTAGCACCTCAGCTGGCTGAAAAGTTAACAGACTAAGGTTATGAGGCGGTAGCATTTGATAGTGACAACATGAGCAGAATTAAGTATATGCTGCTGTTACCTGGCACACCATAGCAAGAAGCTTATTATTTTCACCACATGCTGAAGCCATCTGGTCCATCACTCCGCATGGGGCTCCAACGATGTGGTTCTCCACCTGC